TACCCACTCGTGCAGCATACCAATTTAAAACATAATAAATTCTGCATCATCTAACATATTAATATTTCATCAATTTTCATGGTCCCTCGTGATATGGTCATTCAAAATTGCCCCTTTAAAACTACGCTTGGCAAAATTGTACGAAATCAAACAAATGTAAAGTGTTTTAGGACGTGTACTGAGATGCATCAGAATTGGTGAAATTGGCATGTGTTGAATATCAATGGATTAGGAATATTCTTGTAGTGGTCTCTGCAATGAACAGCATCTTCCGGTGAAATTTTCAAATACATTTTAAAAAAGAACAGTCACAAATACCACGCAAAACCTGAACATATGTGCTCATTAAGTACTTTGTTTAGGAGGAATTGGTTTCGTGTACAACACGAAATCTTTTTTGCACGTGGACCTTGTTAGTTAGATTTCGGACTTAATCCCCTGCTAGTGAGGAACAGAGGCCACGAAACTGCCAAGGTTTTGGGTGGTCTGGGGTGCAATGAACAAAATCACCCTTGTGAGAATCACCGGATGGTTTGCTTAGTGGACCACATCACGTAGGTACTGGAACGTCATGTGTTACCCTTAGACAAGTAGACATTCATGCATGACAAAACCTTTTCTCACAGGGCCAATGCCACTAGAAAATTCTTGGAAAACCAAATCACATACCAACGTTGGAGTGGTCTGAAGTAAAAGGATCCGATATGAATCCTACAGGTATGTGAAGCCCCATGAAACAGCAGCGGAAGAAAAGGGACCTTGCCCTCGATTCAGAACCTTTATTTGCAAGTCTCTGTGACATTTGAGATGAACTGATAAGATTATGTCCACAATTTAAAAGAAACCACGCCCAAAGAGTTCGAGCTATAGACAAAACCAATGACTCCTGAAGAAAATAATAGAAGCACATCTAATGTTAAATCCAAATTGTGCATTGTATACGAGGCTGGTCTGTTTTCCCATCTATTTGAAACTACAATAACAGAATATTGAAGAGACAAAATACTCCATTCATTTGATGATGTTACGAATGTCCATTCTATCAATATTGATGCATCTCAAATGCGAAGACAATTTACGCTTCTTTGATTTCGCAAATTTTACTAAGCCTAATTTTTTAGGTCAATTGTAACCATCCATATCTTGGGCGTCTCTCAAGATAGAGGAAATATTAATGTGTCAGATGATGCATAATTTAATAGGTTTTAAATTGGTATGCTACATGAGTGCACAGCGTAAGAACGTACGGCTTCAACACGATAGCTGGATGATTACACTAATTGCAAGTTGATTTTTAAGACGCCACTTTATACATATTATATGAATAAATACATCATATATGATGTGAATATATATTACGTATTTAATAT